AACGACAGAAAAGGGTCCACATATGACGAGATATACGCATGCAGCGGCGATTTTGGGAAATTGTAGGGCGTTTCAGACGAATTTTTCCTACAAAAAGTGGATTTTCGCTTCCCAGCGGTTCCTGCAGCATTTCCCAGAGTGCCTCCAACTCTAAAATCATTATTTCGGGTCTCTAACACCCGTGCAAAACGTCAGACCGGGGGGCAGAAATTGCAAGTTGGTTCCAAATCTGTCGCTTACAGCCCTGACTACTCCAGCCGAAGAAGGAAGTCTCCTCTCCAAACTTGCCATCCCATTACTGTATCCCGCGGTATAAGTTGGGCCCGCTGTGCGGCCGCGCCCTGCAGCCGGGCGCCCCGCCCCGGCCCGCCCACGGCAGCGCGGTGAAAGAGGCCCTCCCTCACTGAGAATGAAAAAGTCAGATCAATCCCCAAATTTTTGGGGCGAGGTTTACTTTCTCCCCCAAAATTTTGGGCGAGGAAAGTTTCCTCCCCCAAATTTTGGGGCGAGGAAAGCTTCCTCCCCCAAATTTTTTGGGGTGAGGAAGGGGTATCAGCCCCTATACCATATTATTATGCCCCAAATTTTGGGGTGAGGAAATTTTCCTCCCCCAAAATTGGGCGAGGAAATTTCCTCCCCCAAAATTGGGGTTGGGAACCCCTCACCCAAAATTTTAGCCGATCATGACTCTTTCATTCTCACCCCCTCAACTTCGGGCTCCGCATTGACTCAAGCCGCGTCTCATCGGCCCTTATTTCTGATTCGATATGATGCGATGAGATTTTCCCGGCGGTGGTCGGTGTAATGAGCCTCGATCATCTGAGCAAGGAACAACGACTGCGAATAAAGTTGAAACTTGTGAAAGAAGGCTTTGTTTTGGAATGCTTATCTGCTGAGAATAAAATTAGACGATCGAACAGCATGGCCAACAAGGTTTGAGGCTGGAGGCTTCTTGCCGACTCCGCGGTAGAAGGCGTTTCATGAGGTGCTGATTCCAATGAGATAGTTGAAAATAAAAAATACTTTTTCTGGACCCACTGCCGTTGCGTCAAATAATAAACAAAAAAATTGGAATGGCTGTATCTCCGAAATGGTACGTTTTCGGACATGCATTTATTAGACAAAAAAGTCTTATATCGAGGTGTTCTACCCTCTCCCGAAGTTTGGCTAAAGTTACCGTGAACACCCTGTATATGTGCAAATGACGGAATCTATGAGAATTTTCAAGTGTCAGTAATTGCACCGTGTCACTTGTTCCAAACCCTCCCTTACTTTGTGGTAATATACATTGGGATTTACTCACTGCCCATGCCCATAATGGGCAGCCCATCGCGTTGTCAGGAGCATGTCCTGCACTGGGAAAACCTTAGAAACTATGTCAGGCCTCACAATGCAAAGCAGTTTGTTGGAACAAAGTATTTTGAGTATACATAAGCTTACAAAAAAAAATGCTTCGTAATTTACGAACTATTTATTTCTTCGTAAAGTAAATAAGTTTGTACGTATGTATGCTCAAAATACTTCGTAAGGTTTTAAGGGTGTGGAAACCGCGGATGCCTCACAGCCTGCTGTTCAGCTCTTCACAAATCCGTTTTTCCAGTGTACTCCACCTGGAATCCAGGACACGTTTTGATTTACTCCCCTCCCGCAGCTCCGTGAGGAGCAAAATGGGTGGTTTAACCAAACGGAAGCCACACGGGACCCCCAGTCTGGCCCTTGGACGGCTTTTTGGATTTCGTTCAAATTCGCTTCCAGCGCCTCCGGCCAAGCCTCTGGCGACCCGGGGAAGTCCCACAAAGGGAGGCGAAAGAGGTGCAAGAACATGCCGGAAGCACGCACAATAACTAACCTTGTTTCACGCTCAGTTTGCCCCGGCGAGCATATTTCCATTCCGGTCTCTCCAGCAGTCCGTCCCCCGGGCTGCCTCTGTCCAGCGGCGCGCGGCCATCCCGAAGAACAACCAGCAGAAGCAGTGTAGTAAAAGTAAAAGTAGCAGCGACAGGTACTCTACTAGCACCTGCAGAGCAGTGGAAGCTAAAGCACAATTAGTTACCAGCAGCAGTGGCAAGGAGATGGTAGCAGTTCTTCTGTAATTGCAGTTAGTGGCAGCAGCATAGGAAGTCAGTGGTCCGTAAAAGAAGTGAAAGTCTGTAGCAGCTGGAGAAACTGAGAAACAACAGTACACACAACAATGCCCCAAGCTTCTTACGTTTCGGCCATTTTTTGTCCCAGATTATCCCGTTTTGGTGTGATAAAGTGATTGCACAAGTAATTGCCATTCATTATTTATTGCACTTAAAAGGCAATGACTGGTTCATGGCGCTATAGGGGTGAGGAAATCAAGGATTTTCGTTTCAAATCGAATTCGAATCGATCTTAAATTACTTTTTGAATCGAATTTGAATTGAATCAGGAAAAAGTTGCCGAGTTGAATTGGAATCAAGATAAACGATTCGATGCCAACTCGAACTTTCCTGTCACTTTGTGTCTTTTCCCCTAATCTGTCCACTTAATTTCGAAGACAAACCCTACTATGATTCAAAATTTGAATATTCGAGATCGAACTGTGAAAATCCGACTCCGAATTGAATAGAATCTTGCCTAGTTCGATTCGATTCGGTACCGAACTATCGAACTACCGAGCGCTAGTTATGCAATGAAAAGTGCATGAAATTGGTTCATTATGACACTTGTAAACGGTGAAAAGAGAAAGAAATGTGCAGAAGCAGGAATCAACAGCATTGTTGACGAGGGGTGAATCACTAGTGCACTCATGTGTACAAATTTACCCGTATTCAGTGTACTCCGGTGTACTCACAAGGTTAAAAAGGGCGAAATTCACTGGTTTTCGACCGATTTGGCGTCGAGTTTCGTGTAAAACGCTAAATTAAGCCTTAAATTGTTTACAAATGTAAAATTTATGAGTAAAGGAAGGTGTACTCACGCGTACACTCTAAATATGGGGTGCCCAGCAACTGGGCGCCTTTGTCGCCCGCCCCACTTTTTAGGGTGCCAAATGTCGCCCAGTTTCTGGGCACCTTTGTCGCCCAGTCTCGGGGTGGACAAATCATACAGTAACCGGCCCTCTCCCATGGTAGAGCATGCTCAGGTGTCTAGATCCTGGGCGACTAAGGTGCCTAGATTCTGGGCACCTTTGGGACCTCAGTCGCTGCTGAGCCATGGGTGAAGGCAGGTTTCTTAATGGTTTGTCCACCCCGAGACTGGGTGACAAAGGTGCCCAGGAACTGGGCGACATTTGGCACCCTAAAAAGTGGGGCGGGCGACAAAGGCGCCCATTTGCTGGGCACCCCATATTTAGAGTGTACTCACGCGTGTACTCATGTGTACACCAGAACGCTGAGTGATTCACCCCTCGATTGTTGATGGTGCTGAGAGTCCCGAAAGCGAGTCCGTTTTGCGGCGCGTGAGTCAGCCGGTGCAGACGAGGGCCCTCATCGAGTGTTGAGTGGCGCGAGGCAGTCGCGAGGCTGGAGCCGCAGCCAAGCATAGCGCCGACCCCCGCCGTGGTGCCATCCCGGGTGCCCGGCCGTGGAGCCACCGTAGGGGGTGGGAGAGTATCACCCGGGGCCCAGCATCTGGCGACGGCCCCTTCCGCCCCTGTTTGCACGGTGGCGTTACGCAATATTGCACCGCCAGCTGCCGCCGCCGTTTCCCCTCCCCTCCCCTCCAATCCAGATCCTCTTCGGTGCTCTGCCCCCGCACTGTGCGCGCCCCGATATCGAGAAACCGACTTAGTAAGACGCCACTCCGGGGGATTCAATGGTCAAAGGCCAGCGGGCCGTTGGCCTCTTGGCCCCAGCCGCCAAAACCTGCCCTTTTTCGGGAAGCCATTGCCCCCGCCACTGCCATTTTCCGTGCTGTGCCCGGCCGTGCGTGCCATCCGTCACGGGCGTGCCAGCGTGACGTATCACGGTGCAAGCATCTGGCGGTGGTAATTATCAGAGCAGCCCCGTGATTGGCACGGTGGCGTTACGCAATATGTGCACGGCCAGCTGCCGCCGCCGTGTTCGGCGCAGGGCGTTACGTCACCAGGCTGAATCCGAGAGTCGTTTTCGTCGCTCTGTCTCTCTCGCACTCGTGGCGCGCCCCGGTAGGTGCGAGAGAGACAGCGACGAAGTAAGGACTCAGTCTACCGTGGGGCGGATTCGGAGCGAGGGTGGATCGAAAGAGGGGCAGCGGGCCTGTTGCGCCCTCTTCGGCCCGAGCCGCCTGAAAGGCCGGAAAATTTTGCCCTTGTAATCAGGGAAAAAGCAACACATTGCCCCTGCCACTAGGCAAAAAGGGCTACTTTACCCCTTCCTCAGGCCAATTCTGGATCTGCCCTTGAGCCTAGGTTCGCTGCAGTGGACTGCACGCTTCGTCGCCCTGTCTCTCTCGCATCGTGGACTGCGGACTCTGTGACTGCGAAAGAGACACGGTGACGAAAGTACCGTCCGCAATCGGCCTGCTGGTCCTCTGAAACCATGCGTAATGCCGGTTGCAAGTTTGCCCAGATTGCCGGGGTATTTCTGGGCACGCCGTCGTGTGTGTTCTGCCTACTGTGCGGCGCTGTGCGGGGCTTACGGCCTGCTACCGCGTACGGCGCACAGAGAACCGTGGGCACGCCGCGCCCTGGTACAGCAGACTGCTTCCGAGTCGTCCACATCGCTCTCGCACCCCTACGGACCGCGGAGTGAGTGCGAGAGAGACAGCGCGACGACGCCGCCACTGGGAATGCGGGCACGCGCCGCGGAGGGCGCCGTCGGCGTGCTCGCCGTCATCCCGGACGGGAGTGGGGCGCCGCGGCAAATGGGCGCCCTGGCCGGCCCGGCGGCCGCGCTGGGTTCGTCGGGGCGCCGTGACGCGGCGGGCACGTCGCCGTCGACGTCATCGCCGAGGTGCGCGACGTCGCCGAGTCAACGTGGAGTCGCGGTGGCGCCGGCGAGGTATATAAGTTGGAGGGCGCGCCGTTGGCGGCAAGACACCTGGCCGTCGGCGCCGTCAGCTCCAAGCCGTCGTCCCCGAGACCCAGCTCGCTCCGACATGGGCGTCAGCGCCAAGGCACCCCTGGCGGGCGGCGCCACCGACCAGCGCGCCCCCTCGCACCCGTCCTGGCTGCCCGGCAGGAGCCCCCAGTTCGTCGCCACCATCGTGGGTGAGTGCGCTGCAACTCGCAAGGGTCGTCGCTCTGTCTCTCTCGCACTCACAGAGCGTCTCGTACCGGTGCGAGAGAGGCAGAGCGACGAAAAGGAGCCTGCGGAACCAGGCGGCAGTCATGTGAGCACACATTGCGATTCAGGCTGCGGCCGCCCAGGCCAGCGGCCCGGGCCAGCCAACCTCAAGGGGAGGGCGGCTTGGCCGTGGCTCGGCGGTGCAGAGCTGCATCCCTCCAGAAATATATGGCTCCCTTGGCGCAAACCGCACGCCTAAACCGGTCGGGGGGAGGGGGTGGCGGCTTGGCGGACTTGCCAAACGGGGAGTGCGACAGGAACAGTAGCGCGGCGCCGCGAGGCGCAACCTGGCAAAATATTCCATGACCCAGGTATTTATAGCTCGCTTGTTGTTTCGCGGTTTTGTCTCGCCTTTCGTTGTGGGAATTGGCCGAGCAGAGAGCTAGAGAGTGAATTAGTTCACCCTGTGTATCAGTCCCTCAAAGAAAAGGTCCATCCCGTTTTGTTTCTTTAACGGGGTAGGTGTAGGCCAGACCTTGTCTTTTCGTAACCCTCCCCCCTCGAACTTATCCGTAACCGCTGCCGTGCTTCCGCAGTGAACCTGATCGCCTTCTCCTTCGGCGCGGCTGCCGGCTGGTCTTCGGTGGCGGGGCCGCAGCTGCTGTCCATCGGCGTGTCCGAGGAGGCCCTGTCCTGGGTGGCGGCCATCGTGTGGCCGGCGGGCATGGTGGGCGCCGCGCTGTTCGGGCCCCTCACGGAGCGCTGGGGCCGCCGCCTGTCCGGCCTCCTGGTGGCCGTGCCCCTGGTGGCGGGCTGGGCCGCGCTCATCCTGCCCGCCTTCTGGACCGACTTCACCGCCAAGGACACCGCCACCGCCATCACCATCACCAACGTGACCGCCGGCGCGACGTCCGCCGTCGCTGACGGCGTGCTCGAGGCCGCGCCCAGCACGGACCTCGTCCTCGCCGTGGTCATCCTGGGCCGCGTGCTGCTGGGCGTGGGCATGGGCGGCACGCTCATCGTGTGCCCCATGTACGTCGGCGAGGTGGTCGAAGACAACCTGCGCGGCCAGCTCGGCTCCTACATGCCCCTCTTCATCAACGCCGGCATCCTCTACGTGTACGCCGTGGGCGCGCAGGTACGTCGTGGCTTGTCGGTGAGGTCCTGAGTGGAAACACTGACGGACTGTGTTCCCCAGTGGAAAACCAAAGGCACTAAAACTACGCCCGTAAAATGCTCATTTGCTTGGAGTCCTAGGTTAGTTCACGCCCCTTTTAAGGACATAAACCAAGACGCCGTTCCAGGGGCGATAGCAGCTTACACTCCATTAGGACAAAATTTTGATGCCTTTGATTTACCAGTGAGATTATGAGTTAAAACCCCACCCCGCCTTTGGGGGTTTCTCTAAACCTTGCTGGGGGCTGCCCGGTGGGTTTTGGGGCCCCCTGCGGGGAACCCCCCGCTGGGGCCGGGCCCGGGTTCCCCGCGCCCCCCATCGGGGGCGGGCCCCCCCGGCTCCCGGGAGGACCACCACGTTCCGGCTTAACCCGCGGCGAGGGGAGCCCGGGCGGGGGCTGGCCTCCCGTGGGGGCCCCCGCGGGGCCCCGCCCCTTCAACCCGGGGGCTCGGGCTGAGCAGCTGGGGCGCCGGTCCCCCCCAAGCCCCCCGGGGGGGCCCCCGGCGGGAGGGGGGTCCGGGGGGCCCGGTGGCGGGGGGTCCGGGGGCCGGGGGGTGGCCCCCCGGGGGCCCCGGCGCCGCCCCTTACCTCTTCGGGGCGGGCCGGGCGCGGGGCCCCTCCCCGGGGCCGGCCCTTCCTGGCCCGCCTCTGCCGGGCGGGGCCCTGGGGGCCGGAAGGGGGCGCCGTGGGGGGGGCCCCCCTCCTGCGCTGGTGGGGCCCTTCCCGGGGGCCCTGGCCGCCGCTGGGCCCGGGCCCTGCCCCTCTTTCCGCGCCCCCCCGGGGGCCCAAGGCCCCCGCTGGGGCCTGGCCGGGGCTGTTTCCCTGGCCCGGGCCCCTGCTCCCGGGCGGGTGCCTTCGGGGGCCTGCCCCCCCGGAAAAAACACCGGGGGACGCCGTGGGCAGGGGGCCCGCCCGCGCGGGGAAGGCCCCCCGGATTTTGGGCCGTCCCGCCCCGCAGGCCGGTTGCCTTTCCCTTTCTGTTGGTTCCTTCGTGGAAATTCTTCCCCAGTGTTTTCCAAAAGGCCCTGGGGGGCCCCTTTGTTCTTGGTTCTTTGGCGTGTGCCGGGGGCCCTTTTTCCCCTTGGTGGGCCTCGCCACCCCGGGGGGAAAACAGGCCCGGTGGGGCATCTCCCCCGAAGGCCTACGGGGCCCGCGAACAAAGGGAACCCCTTGAAGGGCGGGGAAAGGGGAAAAGGGTTCCCAAAAATTTTTGAAACCCCGAAAATTCGGGAAAAAGTGGATTTTTTCCAAATTTTTAAACCCAATCCTTGAAATTGGGGGAGTAAAACAGAAATTTTTTTCCTTAAAAAATTTTTAAGGTAAATTTTTTTCCAAATTCTAAAAATTTTTGGGGAAATTTAATGAAATTCAATTTTAAACTTAGAAGGAAATGGGCACAAAATTTTCAAAGTTTTTTCCCCCTTTGGAGCCACTGGGGGGAAATTAAAATTTGGGTTAGTGGGGCCTTACCCCCCAAAGGGGCCAAGATTTGCCCGTAAACGAAAAAAGTTTTTTAGAACGGGGGGGGTTCTCCAAAAAATTTTAAAAAATGGAAGTTTTTTTTCCTACTTAGAACCTAATTTGTAATTAAAATAATTTGTGTGATTGTTTGTTACGGGTACCTAATTTTCTTAATTAGGGGGGGCGCAAAAAGCCAAATTTTTTTCCTTTTTAAATTTCGTTTTTAAGGGTAAATTTTTAAACCGATTTTTGCCATTGGGGAAATGGGCTTCCTTAAGGGTTTAAAAAGCTTAGAAACCAGTAAAATCAGGGGGTTTTTAAAAACCCCTCCCTACTACCAAAAAAAAATTTTTAAAAAAAAGGGAGAGAAAATTTTTCCCCCGGGCGGTAGAAGCAATTTATTTTTAGGGTGTTGGGTTTTTAAAATTTTAATTAAAACTTGGAGTGTTTTAATTTTTTTATTTCGGGGAAGGGGGCCGGTAAAAAACACAATTTCTGGGAAAGTTTTTTACTTTTTATTAAATATGTATTGAAAAAGGGGGTTTCCAAAAAGTTTTTCCGTCCGGGGTTGGAACAGCTTTTTTTATTTAAAGGGAAAAGGTTTTTGGCATAACCTTTACAGGGAAAACTTCCAACGGGGGAGCAAAATGCGGGGCCCAAAACTATTTATTGTGTTATACGCAGACTTAATTCCTAAGTTACGAAGTATTTTCTTTGTGAGCTTATATGTATGCTCAAAATACTTTGACATAGCAAGTGACTATTGTTAGTAATATCCAAAATAGATCGTGAAGTGTGGAGAATATAGCCAAAGAAAAGCCAATTGTACTTTTGCTGCATGTACTGAATGTACCATATTATACTAAGCGTATTCGCGTGTGTTTTTATTAACTCAACATCTTTTATTGATCTGCCTGTCATTTCTCCATTTCTCCTCATACACGTGGTGGACGGAGATAAAAATAAAAGAGCGGAGAGAGCTGAAATCGAGAGAGAGAGAGAGAGAGAGACGAGCGACCCGAAATGCAGCGCTCGATAATACCCGCCTCGCCCGTTCCGCTGCGCCGCCCAACTTCATTATGAATAACAAAACAGCAATTTTCCCCGTACCGAAACAGATCGTGGCGGGGCGCGGCATGGCTTGGCGTAGCGTGGAGCGTTTGGGCTGAGCCGAATGGGGTCGCGACGGCCACAAGGGATAATGACTCGTCACTCGGCGGCGGCGCTCCGCAGCGTTCGGCCGATAGATACCCTAAGCGGATGGCGCCGCCACCGGCCGATACTTTCCGAATTTTATCCGTTCACTGGTTGTTTTCGGCTATTTTCAGCCTGGATCATTTTGAGGCCTTCTTGACTACAGGATTTTAGAGTGCATTCTTTACTGTAGAAAAAATCCACGGGATAAGGTACAGGCACAGTCTGGTAGACAATTTGCCTGGTACCACCGTACCTCAGCCAGTACGGCTTTTGGGGTACGGAGTACGGTTTTTCATAACATGGGCTCTTATGGGAAGCACGGTTTTTGGGTACAGTTGTTCTGTACACCGTGAGGTACGGTCTAGCCGTACCCTTTTCCTTGAAATGTACGGCTTTTATAGAAGTGATCTTCAGCTGGGTCGGAAGTTGATAAGAAAATCAAGAGGAGCAAATGCCAGCCATCCTTCAATGCGCATAGCCCGTCGATGTTCACTCAAAAAAGTCTACGAAGCATTTTAATCGTAAGGAAGAAAATGAAAGCACCACAAAATTGCTTCGCATTACGAAGATTTGCTAAACATTCACTTTCAGAAAAATGTACGGTATTCGCCGTTTATTTATTAATAGGACTTGCCGTACTTAGAAGTACGGTTTTTACCGTACCTAGACGTACAGCGTTTACCGTACCCATAGAAGTACGGTGATTTCCCCGAAATACAAATTGAAAAATTCCTTGTTCAGGTTTCCTTTTTACCTTTGGATTTCAAAAATTTGGGCCTTGACAAAGGGTTTGCTCAAAGTAAGGGGTGCCTTTAGGTACGGAAAACCTTGGTTTCTTTTGGTACGGAAAAACCGTTAATTTTAAAAATTTGGAAATTTTAAAAGCTAAAGGCGAAAAGAAAAGGTTTCTTACAAATGTTTACGAAGGGGGCCTTTTTTCCCTACAAAAAGGACTTTTTTTGGGAAAAATTTTTAGGGTTTTCCCTTTTTTCCCCAACGGGAAAAGATACTTCCGGTTGGACTTTCCTTCCGGGGTTTTTTGAAAATTTTCCCCCCAAAACAACCCGGGCCCCCGAGGCCCCCCCAAAAAACCCCTTTTCCCATCGCGACTCTCGCCTAACGAGTTGTTACGCCAGAGGGAGGCCTCCACCGCAAAGGTGCCGGCCTGTACGCAGGGCATACTGTAAAACTCGGATCCGGCGTCGTCGCCACGCGCTGCTTTGTTCTGCCACCGTACCGCAGACTTGATTCGACGCGAGTTCGGCCGAGGCGACGCGCGGGGCGCCTCCAACTAGAAGACCTTCTTCGACGGCGAGCTCTGCGGGACCCCAACACCGTCCAGACCGCGAGGGCGCTGCAAAGGCGCTGCAATCTGGTGAGTGGGGAATTCGGCGAGGGAGTTGCGCATCCAATCGAGACGCGCGTGTACGTCAGTGTGTGTGTGTGTGTGTGTGTGTGTGTGTCTGCGTGTGTATATCCTGCCTCTAAGTGTGTGTGAGTGTGTGTGTCCAATGGTAGCTGGGCCCACCCACGCACGTGTGCGCGTGTGGACACCCTGAAGCTCGGCTGGTCATTTGTCTTGGCCAGCTGATGACATGATACAAAGCCCATTCGCATAGCGCAGATACTGTCGGCGATAACTGCGGGCATGCCATTCTCCCCGGGACTCTGGTCTGATTCCGAATTGGGCTCGTTGGTCGCTCTGTCTCTCTCGCACCCCTTGCGGAACGCCCCGTGAGAGCGACAGAGAGGGGGCGAGGGAAGCTGCGTTCGGGGTCAGCCCGCTACGCCAGGACGAAGGGCTGTGCTGCGCGCAGGGTGGGAGCTGGGCCCGTTGGGCCTCAAGGAAGGACCGGGGCTGTGCGATTAACCGGTTAATTTTCCGCTTATTTTCGCTAACCGGTTTTTCGGTTAAAGATTTTTGAATTAAACGGGTATAGGTGTAACCGGTTAAAAAATCAATCCCAACCGGTTTCGGGGGTTAACCGGTTGCAGGAATCGGTTAAAAACCGCGTTAAACTGAGGGGGAAACCCGGCCCAGAAAGCCCTAGCAAACCGGCTTTTCCAAGAATCGAGTTTTTTGGGGTTTTAATACCTAATTTGTTTTTAGCCGATAGCTAGCCATAAACCTTTTTCAACTTTCCTTCAAGGGGAGAATCAAACAAAAAAAATTTATCGAAAAAAGTTCATTAAAATTTTTTTGAAAATTGTAGCCTTTGATAAAAACTTTTTCAAGGCCCAAATTTTTAACTCAGTTTTTCTAATCGTATATTATTTTACTTTAAACTCTATCTCAAAATAACCGGTTATTCGAAAATGGCAGGATACTTGAAATAACCGGTTATTTGCAAATAACCGGTCAAAAAATATTATCCCTGATTCGAGAGATAAAGTTTACCCCACCCAAAATTGGGTATTGATCAAGACTCTTTCCTTCTCAGTGTGCCATTCCGAAGCCCACCATCGTCTCTGTGTTTCTCTCGCACCATCTCGCGGGGCGTTCCTTGTGGGTGCAAGTGAGACAGAGCGACGGGTTT